TCAAACACGCATCCCTTTTTTTCTTTCACTCTCTGTCTACTCACTTCCAAATCCACCCCAATCCATTCCTCTTCTCCTCCCACCTTGAAAAAAGGAAAATAATTGTTTTATGGCTCAAGAGCCAAAGTGGGAATTTATGACCTTATGGATCTGTTGAATATCTGGAAAATTGCAATGATATAAATAATTACACTCGGTTTGATGGCACCCTGCACCTTTAAAAAGTTTTCTCAAATCTGCTCACAGGTGATGAAATAAAGTCAGAGAGTGGCATAAATCTCCTAAACAATATTCAGAGCATGCTTTCTATTTGATCTGTCAACATTGCAGTGGATAGTCTGCAAAAACCTGGTTTCTTTTTTCCAGTTTTGCTTTTTACAAAACACCTAACCTCGGTTTTTTAACTCTGATCTGTAAACCCTTTTACTCAGAACCATTCTGGGGTCAAATGATGCCTTCTTTTGCTTAGTCAATAAAAAGAATCAAATATGTTAGAATTATTCATTACGGGGAAAGTATCTTTGGATAAAATCATATTTGTCATATGTCATATATTTAAAATCATACTTTTTACCATCTAGCTGCCTCAGTAGACAAGCTTTCATGTGTATGTAATTATCAGACATCATTATGTGGTGATTGTCATCGCTGGAGCATCAAAGCTTGGGATCTCGCGTGCGTGAAGCGTACCACTACTTTCCCCCTCTTCGCTCGCGCGCTCTCTCTCGATATGTCCAATTATTTATTTATTAATTTATTTATTTTGAATAAATTTGTTAGCGTGTATTTGTTTTTGAGTGCACTCTCTCGAGCTGCAGTCGCTATCAAAGAGAGCGCGTGAAGTGCCCCTTGTTCACAAATAATGAATCGGTGAAACGTCGAGAAAACCCGTCAACAACGACATACTCACCCTTTTCTTAATTCGCTCTCATTCTCTTGCCCTATTAAAACATTTCTTCATGGGTAGCAAAATATGTATTCCATGGCGCGCCACGCCATATATATAGAGAGACATGGCACATTTAATGCAAACTGATCTTGTATATTTCAGTTTCTGTTTTAACACATTTTGTTTAAACCTCTGTAACTTATGTTTTTGTATTTTTTTATATTTCAAACGCTGATATCCCCATATATGCCTGCTAGTAATTAAAATAGCCTACTTTAGAAACAACTTGTCACTAAATTGGGCTGGGTTGAAACACTAATATAAAATATGGACATTTTAAATTTTTTTGCACTAATTTACCGTGAAAATCATACTTCTTTAAAATAATTATTAGGCTACGTCCAATCGTCTCCATTTCATTTCATTTTTTTAATTGAACATGGTAAACATTTAATTCAAACAAAGCAAATTAAATCGGAAACAAATAGGCCTATGTACAGCACAAAACGTGCTAAAGTACGTTCCATAATATTCCTAGTTTATTTATATATTTAAATGTAGACGAAAAGCTTATGTGGATGTTATAGCTATATTAAAATAAAATAGAACCTGTTCATTTAAATGACACATTTTTTTTGTGTCATCTGTTATTCATAACTGAAATTATAAGCGAAATTTTTAACTCTTACCTCAAAACTGTTTTTTAGATATGTTTATATTTTTGCACAGACACTTTACTGTCACCTCAGGAGGTAAACACAATTAATACCTTTAAAAGCAACAGACTGCATTACAAGCAGTTATGTAAATTCTGTATTTACATATAGCCAACATGTTGTTTATCATAAGATATAACTCAAGAGATATTTTTAAGCGTTGTAAATGATATTGCATTAAGGCAGTGCACTCTTAAAAATAAAGGTGCTTCAAAAGGTTCTTCAAGCGATGCCATAGAAGAACCTTTTTGTCTAAATGGTTCCATAAAGAACCATTAACATCTGAAGAACCTTTCTGTTTCACAAAAGGTTCTTTGTGGCGAAAGAAGGTTCTTCAGATTATAAAAAGGTAAGAAAGAGATGGTTCTTTAAAGAACCATCTCTTTCTTACCTTTTTATAATCTGAAGAACCTTCTTTCGCCACAAAGAACCTTTTGTGAAACAGAAAGGTTCTTCAGATGTTAATGGTTCTTTATGGAACCATTTAGACAAAAAGGTTCTTCTATGGCATCGTGAAGCACCTTTATTTTTAAGAGTGTGGATGTTGGTTTATCCTTGCATGGCTCCTACTTTATTGTCTGACACCCACACAAAGGCAAACTAACCTCAATGGAAACACTGTGCATAGTCACATTATAGAACAATAATATATTTTGTCATAGAGCAAGATTAGAGCTACATTTTTTCAAGGTGAATATTGATGCACTAATGTGTTTTTCCCAGATGTTCCTCTGAAGGAACTGAAATAATAGCACTTATTTGAAATAATAAATTGTCCTTACCTGGTGATCTCTTAAGAAAGGGCTTTCAATGGCAGTCCCTTACATAAGCAACAAAGCCCCTTTTTGTTATGTGTTTTAGAAACATGTCCCTGAATTTGTATTGATCAAATGGAAAATAATATAGCCTGAATTTGTAGTGCTATATTTGAAAGACCCCGAGTTGATAACCATTGTGTGCATGCTTTATCTTTCGTTCTACTCAATTAGAACTGCTGTAGGTATATTTCCAGAGAGCATTTGAGGGCCCCAAACAAAATACAAAATATATGTTTTATATATAAATACAATCGAATATTAATTGTTAGCTATCCTCAGCATCTCCACAGTGTAGTATAGACAAGATGCTGAAACCACTCCATCTTGGTCTGGCCCTGGTGAGCCTTAACCTTGGACCATATGACCGTGGAAAGGGGGGCTTTAAAGCTGAGGGGGTCCTGGAGGTGTGTGGGCAAAGTCATGCCTTCCACATTATATGCTTTAACATGGATAGCAAATCCAGCACGGTTAAACAAACTTAACCTTCATTTGTGAAACGGTGCAACTCAAAGGGCAGAAAACGACTTGTGAAAGTAATTACCGCTAGGGAAAAGCAACAGAGGGAGAGAGAGAGAGAAACGGAGTGGAGGTAAAGAACAGAAATCATTTAAGATGAAGAGGCATTTTTAATGAGTTTGCTCAGACATTGATTTTCCCCAGTAATCTTTTATTAATATGCAGTGGGCATTCTGTCCCCAAGCCCAGGGAGGGGTCACAGCCTGTCAGGACCCCTACTCCCTCAAATAACACCCCAAAGCCCAGGGAAAATGGTATTTTAGCAAAGGCAAACATTGTCCTGTCTTGGCTTAAGGGGCGAAATAGCTGTTTATTTTAAAACTTGTTCCTTTCTGCCTGGAAAAGTGACATACTTTGAGGCACAGCGGCAGGAGGTGAATATATATATAAAAGAAATGCATAAAATTGATATCTTTGCTTATTGATTTTATTTAATACTCGAGATGTCAAGTTGTAAGTGTTTGAACTTCACCCAATTGCAGTATTTAATTGGAAGGAAAAACATATTAACAATTGTGCAGAATAATTAATTAGCCTACATAAAAATGCATTTTAGATAGATGAGACAGTGAAACTGATTTATTTGATGGGAAACAATTTAATTTTGTTCCCATTGTATTTATTTTAACCAAATGTAATATATAGGCTAGCGTTTCAAATCATTTAATATTAAGCATTTGTCAGTGCTTTTAGTTTCTTTAAAGTGTAATTGAGAAAGAACTTCTAAAGATAAAAGCATGACAAGGATTGTTATTGTTAGGCCTACTGCATTTTCTTACATAGTAGGCCTACTGTGTTATAGCTTTTATTATTTATATCAGAACTGTTCGTTATAAGAACTTAAAATTATATTGTTATATAAAAATCTGATAATAATTTTTTAAACCAGGATTATTGAACGTAGACAAACCATGCATCTTTTGAAACGTATTTCTTGAGGTTGCATGTTAGACTGCAACCCATTTCTTTCAGTTACAAAGGCGTTGTCTGCCACCTAGTGGCTAAAACAGGATGGATTTATTACATTTTCATTTACATTTAGTCATTTAGCAGACGCTTTTATCCAAAGCGACTTACAAATGGGGATTACATTAAATGGGTGTGAAGGGAAAGTTTATCCGACAATAAGAATGTTGTCATTTTTACTTACCGCATTCTAACGCAGTTTTAATTTTTGTTCATTTTTGGGTGAACTGTTCATTTCAATTATGTGTTAAATCATCTTTGAACGTGTATTCTAATACCATGTCGACCATACCATTTCCATCCCTATTTAATAAAAACTATATTCGTATTTGTTTTTACAATTGTAAAATTGTAAATGTAATAAATAATTATAATAATAATAATAAAATGATATTATACAAAATTATAATAACATTTTATGGTTTGAGTGCCAGTAGAGGGCAGTATACGTTGATTTCTCAGCAACGCTGCAAAATATCAATGGACAGGACAAGTGAAGTTTGTTTACATAACTATAACTTTAATACTTGAGAAATCCATGAAAATATACTCTTCATGAAATAATAAATATAAAAATTCTGTATGAACAAATGCACAATTTACAAAATATAAGTGTCATCTCTGTGAACTATTTAAGTTATCTGTCAGTGACCATATCACATAATAAGCCTCTATTATATAATTTAGGTGTTTAACCTTTTTTATCATATTGATAATTTTGGTATAGTTTCTTTTAGCCCCATTTCATTTATTAGAAAAAAATGCACATTCATATTTTGCTGTCTGCTCTGATGGGGCGATAGGGAACAGTCATGGTGGTATTCACATAAAAAGGTACAATCTTAGCTGATTCTTATTGCATAAGTATAACAAAATGTTCTTGTTTTTCTCTTATTGTTATTCTTACCGACTACCATTCTGCCAGATGTAACAATTAGAAATTACTCACATACGTCTACTATTACATACTGCGGCAACTAATTTACTGTAGGCAGACACCCAAAATTGATCTAAGCAGTACCTAAATGTACTTCACTGCCATTTATTTTCGCCACAGGCAAAGTCACTCAGATAAAATTCTGATTGAGTTGGTTTGTGAGCTTCCAAGAGACCCATTTCCCTCTTCAGGAAGTGAAAAGCAGTTGTGAAATGAGACAGGCCAAAAGGCAAGTCAGCGCATATGTTGAGTTTGGAGCAGCGAAGTCAAGTGCGCTGGGGTTTGTGGGCTGGCTTGGGGGCTTCAGTCTGTCTCGGAGTGGCGTTCGTCTTTGCTGTTGTTCCTGTCGTGTTCGAGGAGGTTCCACCGTCACATAGCCATTGGTTATCCTTATATTCGGGTTTGGAGTCGTGCTGAGGTCAACATGAGAACAAAAATGTGGATTTTGTTAGTTAAAAGCAGCTTTGAATTCCCTTTTGTGGAAATGTGGTTTCTGGCATGTGTTCTGTCCTCACCTGTCTCCTATGCGCACCCACAGGTCACTGAACAGCCGTGGTCGACTGTGTGCATGATGGGTTTTACGGGGGCGTTTGTAGCGGCCAAACTCCTCTAGCTGGCTAAGACTGTCTGGCAGCAGCATGTGGGAGAGTTCTTCCTGGCTGATTTCCTCTAGCTCAGGAGGTTCTGATGTCCATTCCGTCACTGATTCAGAGCTGTCTTCAGTGGGATTCACAGTAGTCCCCTCCACCTCAGACCAGCTCCTTCTGTGAGAACATGTGGAAGTTATAAAACTTGAGGTATGCAAAAGTTAAATTTGAAATAAGTACTATATCAATATATATGCTTAAAATTAAGGTGCGTGCTATATCAGCACCATATTTGTCATGAGACAATATTCGAGATTTCTGCTGTCATCTAACGCTCACTGAAATATTTAACTATACGTTTAATTATTTAATAATGTAGATATTTAAGTAAATCTCAAAATATCCGTTTTTTCCCCATTATAATGTTGTGATGTCTAAATTGAGTTGCAGCCATAAAAATGGTACATTTTAAACTTAACAAATATATTTTTTGAAGTTGTAAATAAAACTCAGATTACTGGAGTATGTTTTAAAAGAAAATACTATATCATCATAAATAATCATATTATTTATACTATAAATAAGCCTTTCTACTTCAGAATTTTGTGTTTAAATCAATGTGTTACTTGCCAAGTCTTTTATTTGTAATTATTATAATAATGGCATTTGTAATTATTGAAATTAACTTGCAATTTCTGAGTGAAAATGGTTTCAAAGTAAATCCCACACCACATTTTTCAGTGATGTTTTAGTTAATTTATTTAAAATAATTATTGCAATTATTATTATGTGTTCTTAGATAAAATTAAGTATTTTACAATTAACCATTTACATCATGAACATAACTCTTGAGTTACTGATAGGGGGCAGAATTTTAATATCTATTTTAATAATTGATTTATTTTAATATAAATTCAATTGTAGCATTTAAATGGACTAATTTGAGTTTTTATTTGGTTAAACATTTTATTAATTTTATTATTAATGAATATTTCAACATCAGCCATTTATGACATGAAAATAATTCTCTGTATATCTCTATTGGTCTGGATTTTTAATATAAAAAATTGGATTTATACATATGAAGGTTATTTGAGAACTGGGCAGTGTCAGGAGACACCTTTGAAGTACTGGAGATAACATCCTAGCAGTGTTTCAAAAAAGCTCTGGCTTAGTGTGAGTGTGTGTGGACTTCTTTGGACTTCAAACAGCGTGATATCAACCTTTCGGCTTGCTAAGAATTCACAAAGAGCCAGTGAGGTTAAAGCCACAACCTCAAAGCCTTGAGCTCCCTTACTGATATCCAAGTTTAGGCTTACATACCAATCCATGTTGCTATTAAATGTATTATATAATCACGACCTTAGTATCATTAATTTTAACTAAAGAATTGAATATTAGAGACATTTGGACATAGACTTTACCATAGTGTACCAGTAGGGCGTAGTATTGCCCAAGTTTATGCCACTCTATACTTGTCACCTCCAGCTTGTGAGTGCCCACTGGGGCATTTTATTGCAGTAAACATCAGCCAAAGCCATGCACACTGGGTAACCATGACGACATTTGGTAAACCGTCCTTCATTCCGAACTGCCTCATTGTGGTTAGGCCAACCCGCCGTGTTTAGTACGTCCACAAAGTGTTTTGTTTGGTTTGAATCTCGTAATCACCCATATGTGCACCACAAACACACTACAGGACTGTTTTCGGGCCTCGAGTTTGTGGTTTATGAGCTGCCATTGCACGTTGTTATATTTGCCCATCATATCACCTCATTTTTTCGCTTTACAGTGGAGAGGAAGCGAGCCGAAGGGAGCAGGCCTATAAAGCTGAAAGGGCTCGTGTTTCTAAACCACAGTCAGTCCGTCATTCAGCCGGTCCATCCAGCTGTCAGCTTGTTACCACAGCCACTGTCATCATCTCTAGCAATCTGAGAACCCCCCTTCACGCTCGCTTTCTCTGCCTCTATTACTTCCACCGCCGCAGTGTGCCAAAGGAAAATGTTTGCACTAAAATTTGCAACAGGAGGTTTTTCAAACGACACCGGCTGGATGTTGCGGTGGTGGTTGGGCGCTTTGCGATTCGAACTACCTTTCTGGGACCGTTCAATTGCTCGGCGTTCTCATTTTTCCATTTGCGCCTTTGTTGGGTGTTGGAGCCATTACAACAGCTATTTAATGAGTACAACCTACACAGCCTTTGGATCACCTCTTTCCAGCTCCCCTAAAGGCCTGTTGAGTAATGGTACGAGTATGCCAACGATGAAGGTGGGTTGTCTTTGTCTGAGCAGGCATAGCACCCCTCTCTACAAGACAAATGGGTGAGGCATGAGTTGGCACAGAGCTGGTCTGGCCCACTCCGTCATGGTTAGCAGGGGGAGATCAAAGGGATAGTTTAACTCTGTTTGCAGTTTAGCACAGTAAGTGGAATATCCTCTCAGTGAATTACAATGTGCTTGGGGTTTCGATGTGGTGAAGCACGATACATTGCTGAGCCTGTGTATGTAGTACGCTTCATTATATTCTGTGCCACAGAATATTCGGGAAAGTTTGTTGTTTAAATAACTTCATAATTATTAGGAGTGGGGGCAAGGTATTGGCATAGGAAGAAAATGAATTAGAAGAGGACAGAATCTGAATAGGGAGGAAAAGGTGAAGAGAAGAACTGTTCTTTGTGAGAACCAAGAGTGTGAAGCCGAATTGTGCGCCATTTTAAATTTAGGGTAACGCTTTAGTATAGGGACCAATTCCCTAAAGTTGCTTATTAACATGCCTATTATTAACATATTGGCTGTTTATTAGTACTTAAGGTCTGAAATTTTTGCACCTCACGTTGTGCCAATCACGTTTACACACTGCCTCCGAAACTTTCGTCCGTCATAAAAAGCAAGCATTTTGATAGGAAAAGATGAAGAATACGAAAAAACGCATACAAAAATTTCGGATTCGGTGTGCAAGGACCTTTATAAAGCACATAATCTGAATGAGCATATTCTACATCCATAATCCTACTTAATAACTTGTCAAACCCCTTTGAACTGTTTTGTTGTCTTCCTCCCTCATGTGCTCTGTGTGACCCAGTTTTCCCTCATGTCTGATTGTCATTTGGTTCAGGTGTGTGTCATTAATTACCCTCATCAGTCCTCCTATTTAAGTTGTGTTCAGTTCACTGTTTGTCGTCTGGTCTACTTGGTCCATACGTGTGTTTCCTGCCTGTCTGTTTTGTATTTGCCCTATTGTGGATTATTAAAGACTATTTGCATTGTTCATCGTCTTCTTTGTGCATTTCATTTTACCGTAGCGTGACATAACTAAACTTAACAACTACCTTATTAACTATTAATAAGCAGCAAATTAGGAGTTTATTGAGGCAAATGTCATTGTTAATGGTTTGTTAAAGGGGTCATATGATGCGATTTCAAGTTTTCCTTTCTCTTCGGAGTGTTACAAGATGTTCGTGATTAACACTGGTTTAAACACGCCCCCACGTCTACGTCACGATGTAGGAAGATTTGCATAATGCCAACCAAATGTTCACGCAAAGAAATAAGGTCTAATATTGTTGCTGCCGCCGCCATGTTGTGAAGACGCTGTGTGTTTCGTTGCGAAAGCGAAAATACTTTGTTTGGCCTTCCAAAAGAGGACACGACTAGAAATCAGTGGTTAAGTTGTATTTACAACACTGTTCCAGAACAGTTCAACCCAAATATTCAGATGTGTGCAGCGCATTTTATGGAGGACTGTTTCCTGATCCTGGGAGAGTAGACTATAATGCCGGCTGTTCTGACTCACAGTCTGTAAATATGTTTTCATATTTAAAGAATTTGCCACTGATGATTCAAACGCAAGTTTTGAGCAGTGTAGAGTAGCGCTTGTTGTTTGTCATTTCTCCGATCACAAATGCAGACATGGTTTTATGTTTACGCGGCGCGATGCAATGCAACGGGTAAAAAGACAGTATAAGTACAAACAAATGCCTCGTTTATAATGGGTTTTCATGTTTTTGTCTCGTCGCTCCGGCCGGACAGGGCATATGGTAAAGGCGTGACATTTCTGTCACACGCTTGAGGAATTCGGCCAATCACAACGCACTGGATAGCTGGCCAATCAGAGCACACCTCGCTTTTCAGACCAATGAGCTTTGTAAAAATCGACACGTTTCAGAAAGGCGGGGCATAGAGGAGAAACAGTATGTGGAAAATAATGTGTTTTTTTAACCTTAAACCGCATAAACTCATTTCATTACACCAAATACACAAAATAATGTTCTTTTTAGCAACATCATATGACCCCTTTAATAGCGAGAATTGGGACTTAAAATTAAGTGTGACCAAATTTAGTTCCTGAATTTGAACTGAGGTAGCAAACAGAATGCAGAATTGAAATTCAAATTTTAATGCAAGGAGGTAGAATTAAAATGAAGTTAAACGTAAAGAAATTCATATAACTAACTTTTAATTATTTTTTAAACAAGGCTTTGTCATGCTAAAATTAAAGTTTGGTTTGAAAAAGCCATGTTTAAAAGTTTTAAAGGCTTTGAAATTTGAAGGTTCATAGGCCTTTAGATAGATAGATAGATAGATAGATAGATAGATACATTTAGATAGATGGTAGATTTCTATGCATACTATAGAAATTTTGTATTTAGTTTATATATTCATTCATACTTGATAAATTAACTATTGTGGACCAGGGTGGAGGAGAACTCCCAGAATGCATTACCTGTGTTGAATTTCTTGGCGTTGTAATTCAGTAGATTTTACTTCTTGTCATTCCAATTCAAATTCAAATTCAGTTTCCTGTGTGATGTGGCCAACACACTCATAAACTCAATGGGAGCCAATTGTTCAATTCTGAATTTTGCACAACTCTGGTGTGGAGTGTGTATGAGTGTGTGTACTCACTGTGTGATGGGCTCTTGTGCTGGTGTGTGCTCCACCTCATAGCCCTCCTGGCGCAGGATGTCCAGTACACTGTGATTCCCCAGGAAATGACCTGCAGCACACAAGAAACAAGTAGCAACCATGTTAAAGAGGAAAGGTTTCAGGTGGGTGTGTGCAAATAGTAAGAGAAAGCAGATAAGTGCATGTAGTCATGGGGGTGACGCTGTCTCAAGAACCCTCCTTTTCTTTTGTTCTTGATCTCGAGGTGCACTTGTTCCTTCAAGAATGAGGCTATATAAAATGCCCCGTGCTACTGTCTCTCCACCTTGGCTCTCACATATAATACACTCATAATTCCTTCACTCTTGAGACATCAAACACACGCGCTCCAGCGCCACGCTGATGAAAGCTGTTTCACTTCTCCACGCAGCTGATAATCCCATGTGTCACTCAACCCAGCAATAAGCGCTAATACAGCCTGACCTCATCGCCTCAGCATGCTCCGCGAGCTTATTAACGGCATGCTGAAAATCTTCAAGGCTGTCTCTTTTCATGCTTCTTTATCATCATTATTTTGCTGATCAGTCGTGGAGACAGGGCGGGGGAGGGGGAGCGAGGGGCCCGCGGTGCTTTCTTGGCTGCCAAGTTCAAAGGCTGCTGGGGCGACTGGCACGGAGCGTGAAGAGGCTACCGCTGAGCGTCGGTCAGATCTGACGGCCAGATTACGGCGCTACGGCCTTCGGCATGGTGGGAAGAAACAGGCGGCCCATTGAGGCAGTCCCGTTGTGTTCCTCACCTCGTCTCCTATCCCAGTGCCAGACTCGGACAGGTTCAATGACACAGCGGCACGATCAGCAGGCTTTCACACCCACATCCTCTGTTTAATGTTCATATTAAACTCGGTTAGAATGTACTTTTATGGAAACGTTGAGTAAAACAGCCATGCTTCTGTATTCTGCGTGTGAGGTCGAGCAGTTCAATTTATGTGCTGTATTTATTTGCAGGGTTCCAGCCACATAAATAACCCCGCCGGACAGAGCACTCTCACAGACTTTGGCAACTGGAGGAAGTAGTTACTCGAGAAGTGTTCAGTTACTAGAGGAAGTAGTTGGCTTAGGTTTCAGGCTGCGGTGAGGTGCGGGTGGTCACCTGGCTACCAAATTGGTGAGATTTTTCTTGGTTGGGACTTTTTAAGGCTGCATGATACGTTCACGTCATGTTGGAAATATCGTATCTACAAGTTAAACGCACATGAACTTCACCACCAAGTCGTAATTACATGTGGGAAACTCATATGTGTTTGGCTACTGGAGGAAGTGGTTACTCAAGAAGTGTTTGGCTAGAGGAAGTAGTTAGCTTAGGTTTCAGGCTGCGGTGAGTTGGGTTGGTCACCTGGATACTAAATTGTTGAGGTGTTTCTTGTTTAGGACTTGTTTAGGGACTTTGGTGCATTCAAGTCTTGTCAGATAGATAGTATTTATGAGTTGAATGCACATGAACGCCACCACCAAATCGTAATTATAAGTAGAAAACTCTGAACTTTCTTGAAGCCCAGAGTTTCCGAGTTGGTGACATGACAGTGAGACAATAGGTCAAGGGCAATAGATGCAACGTTGATGGTCATTTTTATTTACAATAAAACTACTTAAATTGTGTTGAAACAAAATATGATAGTATTGTACAATTTCTATGGAATATTTAACGATTAAATTTACAAAAACACAGCTGATGTGCATTCTTTATTCATCTTTTTTAAGAGTTAAAAAAATCTTGCTGAATTTTTTTGTAGAAAAGATACATCGCCATCTTGCTCTGACCAAACTGACTTGATTATACCTGACGTTAAGGTTGCTCAATAATGGTCAAATGGATACTCATGATTATTTAAAAATAGAACCCCGATTATTAATCACGATTATTGTCATTTTAAATCTTTTTGCATTTCATTACAATTATTGCATTTTCACATAAGCACAAATCAAGAAAACATCAACTCGCATGGTTTGCTCACAGATTTATTTAAACAATGCAAACAACCATGTGAAAGAAAACAGACTGGCTTTATTACACTTTTAATTTGAGTAGAATATCTCAATAGAGAGCATGGTAACACTTTAGTATAGGGATCAGTTCTCACTATTAACTAGTTGCTTATTAGCATGTCTATTAAACCATTTTGCCACAATGTCAGTGAACATCCCCCGGTGATCACAAACTATTTGAACATTAATGGCTGGATAGCCCTTCCTGCAAATGTACAAGGGCTCATTTACCACAGGGCTTGACACTGGGATAAGGGTGCCATCGATGATGCCAATCACTCTGGGGATGTTGTCAATACTGTAGAACTGTTGATTTCTTCAGGAGTTTGGGGGGAAATCAGGATGTTCTTCATAAGCTGTAACAGCAAAGGTGTTACTGCTGTCACAGTTTTGCTGACTGAAGATTTGCTGAGCCCCAGGCCATCACCCACCACCTCCATAAAACTTCCAACAGCATAATAATGCAGTGTAGCTAATAACTGCACAGCTGAACTTAAGGCGTTGTTTCTTCTTGTTGCCCTCTGAAGATGTGGTTTCACAACCTGTAGTAGTTCAAGGATCTTGGCCCTTGGAAGCCATAATTTTCTTAAGATGGCATCATCAGATAGTGAGTCAAGGGGGGTAAAATGTGTCCCTATGCAGGCATTTATATACACTGCCTGACTTCTGCGTCGCCTTCTGTGTCAGAGGACTCAGACAGAGGTGAATCAGGGGAAGAGAGCAATAGACAAGGACCCTTTGGTGATTTTGAAGGCCCAGGCTGGAGAAGGCCTGATGTTGAAGGGCCAGACTGGAGGGGGCCTGATGTTGAAGGGCCAGACTGGAGAGGGCCTGATGTTGGAGGCCGAAACGTTTAACAGTCTTTAATCAAGAAACACAGGAGATCATCCACAATGGGAGCTTGAGCCAACACATGTAGAGAAGTTGTAGACCTGACAAAGACAAACTGAACAGACTAGGACTTTTAAACACAGGGCAATCAGGGGAACACGGGTGACATCAATGGAACATAATCAAACTAAACGAGGACAGGAACATGACCAGATAAGGAAACACAGGCACGAAGGAGGGAGGAGCCAGGGAGGAGACAGGAGGGGCCCGGAGCAGGAGGAGCACGCGGCTGAGGGTGAGCTGAGTATGGCGCGGCGAATGTGCCACACCGAAGAGGAGAGGGCTCCAGTCCCCGAATCCAGGCCACGATAGCGACCCACGGTGGAGCCGACGGAGGGAGGAGCCATGGAGGAGGAGGAGCCGGTGGGACAGAGCGACGAGGTGCAGCCGGAGGAGCGGAGTCCTGAGGCGATGGTGGGTCGACCCCCCTGACCAAGGCGGAGCCGGAGGGACGAGGGAGCCCGGTGGAGCTGGTGGATCGACGGGTGACGGTGGAGGCGAGGGAGCTAGGAGCTGAGGTGGAGCCGCTGGGTCTACGGGCCGAGGCCAAGTCCGGGCCTCGGAGGCTGAAGACGGAGGTGAGGGATGCTCCAGCCATGGCGACGCTGGAGGATGGCAGACCCGCGGAGCTCGCACCGTAATAATGGTGGGCTGAGAGCGTACCGAGGGGCTGCCAGACGACAGTGGTGGAGGAGGCAGGAGCGAGTGGGAGGGCGGGTATTTGTGAGCCTCCGGGCATTCAGGGCTAAACTCTGGATCGGGAGCCCCCTCTAGGCTGAACACACGGGAACAGGATGGCACTCTGGAGGAGCAGACACTTGAGGGCACTTTCGAGGCACGGGCACTGGAGGGCGCTCTGGACTGGATTCGGGGACTGGAGCTCTCTCTCCTCTTCGGTGTGGCACATTCGCCGCGCCATACTCAGCTCACCCTCAGCCACGGTACAGGGGGCGAAGCTCCTCTCTGCGCTCACACCGTCCGCACCTTTCTCCCTTGTGGCTGGCATTGTCGCCGGCTCTCGCACCTGGTCTAACGGATTGAGCTCCACGGCCGGGGCGATCCTCCGCTCAGTCGCTCGGCTTTGTGCTGGCTCGTCGATCGCGGCAGGAATTGGCTCTCCGTCATCGGTGGGCTCGGGCTGATGCTCCGCACCGTGGGGAAATGGTGGGCTGGGTCTGGAGTGGATCTGACGAGATCATCCACGGGGCAGGTGGTGGATGGCGACTCGTTTCTCGCCAGAGTCCACTCCACGAAGGCGACGAAATCCTCTCGAGGACCATCTTCGGACGTCCGGGTAGCTGGTGATGCTAGCTAACAGCTGGAACAGTGAGAGATCTGTCCCCCTGCTCCAGCAGGAGGAGGAGGAGGAATTCCGGGCGGAAGAAGGGATCCATATCAACAACGGGAACAAAAGAAAACACTGAGAGAAAAATGAGAAAACAAACGGAGGGGAAACACATGGAGGTAACTGTTTTTGTTCAGGTCTTCTGTCACGTTACACTGTTGACGAAGCACGCAGGAGGCACGAGTAAATGAGAACTGTCTTTAATCATGGAAACTCAGGAGATAATCCACAATAGGAGCTTGAGCTAACACACGTATAGAACGAGTAGGTCTGACAAACACAAACTGAACAGACTAGGACTTTTAAACACAGGGCAATCAGGGGAACACAGGTGACATCAATGGAAAACAATCAAACTAAACAAGGACAGGAACATGACCAAATAAGGAAACACAGGAAGGACTACGGGGGCAAAACAGGTCCAAAAGTCTGACAAATCCTACCCAATACCTAAACTTAACAACTACCTTTCTAACTATTACAAAGCAGCAAATTAGTAGTTTGAGGCAAAAGTCATATGGTTTGTTAATAGTAAGAATTGGATCTTAAAATAAAGTGTGACCCAGATCACTAAACTCCAACTTACATGTTTGCCTGTATTTTCAACTCCTCAGCACTTTTTCCATAATGTAGAGAGAATGCATATACATGGTTGCCAGGTTGGGAAGACTATGTAAACCACTGGGCAGACAATGAATCGATTTATGAAAAAAGCTCTAATTGGGATATTTAAACTTTTGAAATCTGGCAACTGCAGATTTCAGATGATTATGTTTAATAACTCGAAGCAGAAATCGTGATCATGATTAAAATACAATTCCTCATGCAGCCATA